GGTTGCATATCGTTATATCTTATGATTATCACAACAGTAAGTGACTATAAATATTTTGATTATTTTCTATTCAGTTTTATTACTAACGATTCATTGTATTTAGAATATAGTCAAATGAAAGGGTCACTATTCTAATGCTTACGTTTCCAGTGAGACACAAAGATGATATCTAAAGCGTCAGACACCAGAAAATTATTCAATAAAATTTCATAGAAGTCATATTGTTAAAATGTTTTGTAAAATATAATTACATGTTTCGTTTTTCAGTCTTGATCAAAAATTGAAAATGTATTTCTACTTTTCCCAATGATGAATAGGTTGAGGACAGACAAGAATTGCTTAATTATCAATATTTTCAAATGTATAACTGATACAATCAAACTGTTTTTTTACTGTAAATTCAATTGACTTAGTTTCGCATTATCAGACTGATCTAAAAATCAATAGCATTCAGATCATTAGTATGATCATTTTTTTTCCTTTTTTGGCATAGATTACTTAAAAGATAAAAATTTACTCCAAGTAAAATATATATTCACTAATTATTCAACTAGGCATAGATAAATCATTGTAAGAACAGATGTATTATTGTCACAATATTTTGTAGCATTATCAAATTAACAAGATTTTTTTAGTTTTATTGTGACCATTTAAATAGTTAATCATAACCATAGCAAGGTTACTGAGTATATTAAAAACGAAACTTGTGAATAGCCTTATACACTGGATTGCAAGCATATATTCATAGTACGGCTGATTAACCACTAGGCAGTGATCATTGTTATATTTTTCTGATTTTTTGACACTGATCAAATTCGGTATATTAATGTGCAGTATTATGACTCAGTAGAGTGTACTGACCAATATCGCATAGCATGAAACTTACATCTAGAGGTTCTTCTCGACTACCTCAAACCACCCAATACACTTGTAAACTGTTCCAAATAAAAATTTATAAACCCTAAATAAAAAATAACAAAACCATCTATGCACGAAAAAGTTATAAGTGTTTTCAAGTTTATTCAGGTTAGTTAGTTTGAACGTTTTCAAGAAAATAACAGTGAGATTTAATAAATACAGTTCTTCATGAAAAATAAAAAGTACGCTACATGTCATTCTATAATTTATGGAAGGCAATAAGTTTTATTCATTTTAAATAAGCTGTTTCTGAATTTAGTGTAAATACCTTAAGAAATAAAAAATGATATCGCATACATTTACCATACTTCTGTTATGTCCCCGTCGCCAATTCTTATATCCATGTCACCCACGACTTTCACTTGGAACCCTTACAGTTTTCACAAAAGATTGGTGAAAGTGACGATTTATTTACTCCAAAATGCGACGACCATAATCAAAAATACATCTTTTATTATGTTGATTTATACACCTATTTGATTATTACGAAATTACAAGAAAACACCATTATGAATTTCATATTGAATGTAGTTTATGTTCATTCAATACAAACAATAAACATATCTCAAATAAACACTACTGTTATATCTAGAAGTTTGTTCATGATATACCGCGTATAACATGAGCACTAGAACGCCAGAACCTTTCCAAGTCGCAATGAAAAGACAGAAGATTAATGAAAGGAATATTATCGCCATACAGTGTCAAATTATAGTACATAACTGTCAGATATTTATAGTTTATAGTAAGAACAAAATCATTATTACAGTCCTCCAATCCGCATACAGGGGGTTATTAGCATTGTACAATCAGGAAGCTACACGTGGGAATTCTAGAATATCCTTCTAAAAGGTGATTGGATACAATATTTTCGGCTTCTTCTGAGCCTCCTACAGCTTCCTCGAGCTCACCTTTGGTCCGTCGTTACAACTACATTGAAATAAATCACTGTTGTAGTGAATAAAATATCACACTAAAAAAATAAAATTAATATTAAGCTAAATAGTCATCATATTCAATTAAATACCGAAGAAATGTTGAACCAGAATCATAGTAAATTAAAAATGTTATTTGGTTTATTCATTTTGTCAATACAAACTTCCTCTTCACAAACCTACTTATGTTGATTATTTTAAAATTAATGATCCATTTATTATTCACTTATTGTCAGCATTTTGAAAAACAATGTTTTATAAAACTTTCATGTTTTCAGAAGGGGTTTTGTGAAGATTTTAGAAATTTTACTGCTTGAAATCATGAGTCAATTGAAGCTGGACCAGCATGGAAAACCTGGAAGCACTGGACGGCTAATTCATTCTAGTATGGGACCCCTCAGTAGTGCCCATCGACGATTCCGTACGCAGGTCTCGAACTCAAACGTTAACACTGTCATTTGTGCAAGACAAATCTGGAAGTAATATGTATGGTACTGGTTTTTTTCGTATATTCTAAGATACAGAATGCTTATTTTGAGTTGATCTAAAGTAGTTATAGACAGATTTACACTGTTAATCATATCACCAAATATCAATATAGAAGTTATAATATCTGTTCTCTCCCGTTAGTCGACTATTTTTAGTTGCATTACGATTTGGTCACTAGTCTAGGTGACTCAATGGCATTTATATTTTAAACAATAACAAATTTTTTACTAAAAAACGACTGATTGACACAAAAATCTTATTTCTACAAATGACCAGTCAAAGAAAAAAATCTTCGTTTGAACTCAAGTGTCTCTGTTCCTACTCAATTGCGAAATATCATTTACAACTTTTAACAAAAAGTTCATGTCCAGATTTTTTTATTTTAAGTTATTTAGGTGTCGACATACTTAATAACATCAATGAATCAACGGATATGATAAACTGTACATTTTTTGAGTTGATGTACTGACAATAAGATGAAACATACCCCTTATGATCTAGGAATACTTGGTGACTAGAATTTACTCATATCTAAGCACAGAATTTTATTAATTTTAAACAACTGATGATATTTACCATATAGACTTATTGGTGAGCTATCATGTTTTCATTTACTACCTGGAAATGTAACTAATTACTTACTTAAGCCTGTTACTCCTAATGGAACATAGGCCGCCGTCCAGCACTCTGCAACCCACTCTGTCATGGACCTTTTTTTCTAATTCCATCCAATTCTTGTTCATTTTTCTCAAGTCCATCTCCATTTCTCGACGTAATGTGTTCTTTGTTCTTCCACTCCTCCTTTGGCCTTGAGGATTCCATGTGAGGGCTTGTCTTGTGACGCAGTTGGGTGCTCTCCTCAATGTGTGTCCTGTCCACTTCCAGCGCTTCTTCCTGATTTCTTCCTTCTCTGAGATCTGGTTTATTATCTCCAATAGTAGGTTGTTGCTGATAGTGTCTGACCAACAGATTCGAAGTATTTTGCGTAGACAACTGCCAATAAACACCTGTATCTTCTGGATGATGGCTTTCGTAGTTTTCCAAGTTTCAGCCCCATACAGTAGAACTGTCTTGACATTTGTATTGAAAATCCTGACCTTGGTATTGGTTGACAGTTGTTTTGAGTTCCAGATGTTCTTCATTTGTAAATATACTGCTCTTGCCCTACCGATCCGCGCTTTCACACCTGCATTGGATCCACTATGTTCATCAATGTAACTAATATTAACCAGTGTCAATGTAATTGTTTGAATGTTAAAAATACAAACGTACCTCTTTCATCTTTTCTTCTAATATACCTTGTAAAACCTTCTTTTAAAAAGTATATATACTATTAATAACTGACAAAATCTATAAAACAAAAAAAATTATTTCAACTTTTTCCTCTCAAGTGGTTTATACTTATAGTAACAAGAAGAAAAAAATAATATTGATAATTGTCTAACTATTTCATCCATCCATTTTTCACTCTCTCTAATCGAAAATAATTACTTTAAACAAGTAGTATGTTAAAATGCACTTTACTTTAAAAATATATTCTAATATTGTAATGTTCAGTTTAATATTTCGTTTTAAATGATCAATTTATTGAAGAATATTAAACGTTTAGAAAAAAAGGAGGGTAAAAGTAGAATTATAAGTTATTATTTTTTTGTTGTCGTAAGTTTCATTTTCATAATTGATACTGATAGTTAATGAAATGGAAGCAGTCAAAGCATTTCACTAGGATGCAATAAATGAATATGTGAAACAAACAGTTAAAAACAAAGGACGAACTATTCGAGCGTCATTTGCACATTGCTGAAGCCAATTCAATCCATGTTCACAAACCTAATCTTTGAATCCAAAATATGTTTGTACAACCACTCTTGCTATCTGGCCCATCGGCATAGTGGAGTTCGTAGCAGAACTTTGATAAACTATTTTCACATTTTCTCCATTTATTGTAATTTTTGTATTTTACTGATTCTCAACATTTGTTCTCTTGATTCTTACGTAACTACTATACTCACTGACCGTTCATCAGAATATTTTACTAGTTCCTTCTCTTATATATATATATATATATATATATATATATATATATATATATATATATATATATATATATATATATATATATAATGTAACGTAGCATCTGCTTGGTTTTCGAATAATTACTTTGATTATTAATCCTCTTTCTTCCAATTACTCAGTCTTAATTTATAATTGATATATTGTGTAACTATTACGTAATGAATCCACTCAATGAGTATTATTTCCTTATTGTAACATATATATAGTGTAGAGCCATGACGAAGAACTAGTTGAAAAGAACTTTCTTCTCTTGATTCATTACTTATTTACTTGCCAAATGTCAAAATGGGAAATTTCACTTTCAATAAAAATAAAACAATGATGAAAAAGGATAATACACAACTTACTATAATCATATTTGAACATAACCAATGAAACTGTAGTTTTATTTTAACCAATCATCTGTTACTCTCACATTATATATTCTCAAATTTTTTTAAAACTTTTCTAAGTATTACACAAATATGTTACTAGTTCTTTTTAAAACACCCTAGAATATTTTATTTCATGTGAAATTGATCATTAAAAAGGAGCCAAAATAAAAGAACTTTAAATGTTTTTAATTTCTAAATTATACTTTAAATGTGCAAAAAATGTTTAATTGGAATAATTATTATGCAATCACTGATTTCTACTTGTGCTCAGTTACAAGATCATGTAATACTTTGGGATGCTAATAACTGGAGGTAACATGTTCTAACATGTTGTTTTTTTTCTTTTTTTATTTAAATTAGGTATTCGATATTTAAACTTAAATGTAAAACGCATTAGTTTGAAATTCATATCAAATCTGTATAACCTTAGTTTGATATACATCATATTATAATATAAATTATATTTTAGTTTCTAGGTTGTTTTTATTAAGATTAGTTTACGTTATTTTATTGTCTCCAAGTGAAACTAATACACAAAATGGCAGAAAATTAAAAAAAACAGAATTTGTCTCAACCAACCCATAAAGAAGAAGATATAATATTTTCTACTCAACAAATGCAATTGAATTTCAAGGGTTGAGATGACGAGTCAATTGAAGCTAGACCGTAATGGAAAACCTTGAAACACTGGAAGGTCGGTTCGCTTCATTGTGGGACTCCTCAGCAGTGGGCATACACGATCCTGCCTCGCGAGATTCGAACTCAGAACCTATCAGTGTCGCGCGCGAGCGCTTAAACACTAGACCACTTAGCCGTCATCCAACGCTGTTAATGTCTAACTTTAACTTATCCACCAAATTGAACTGCACATCCACCATTGTCTTCAGTACTTTACTTTCTCACAACAGAGCTGGTTGAACTCCACTGGTCACTGCTTCTCACTAGGACTCCAGGAACTACCTCTTGAATTGACTCATGATCTCAACCATTGAAATTACTACATTATCCACAAAATCCCTTATGAAATGTAACTAAAGTTTAAAATTACTTTTTCAGGTGTAATAAAGCCTACTAATAACTATTGAACTGGGAATATATATCTAAAATCCAAGTAAAAAACATCATTATATAGAATTCAAAACATTTTATTTAACCATAAACTTGAATAATGTGATGAAAAATAATATAATACTTTTAGAATAAGGTGAAAATCGCTAGGTTTTGCTATAAACTAAATAAAAAAAGTTTAATTAGAGTGCTCTTAAATCTGCCGTTTAATGGTTGCATTCAAAACTAATGCCAAAAATACATTCAGTTGTATCCAGTAGGTTTAGTTGTTGAAATGTTAAGACTTTACCGATCTATTAAACAGCATATTCTTTGTTCATTGAGTCTGTCCTGGTTATAAATAACGCAGTTTTAGTAATATACGTTACATGTAACATTATTGTTATCATTCTTTATTGCATTCCCATATTTAATTTGATCATAATTTGTCTAAAATATGTCTTAATAAAACAAATTTTATTTGATTCGAAATCTTCGAGTTGATCAGTATACATTCAACAGTTTTGTTACTCTGAGTTTAGAAACCCATTGCTAAAACGTATAGTCTCACACTACATAAAAATGTTTGATAATATGACTATGTTCAGACATTTACTCGACTTCATACAGTTATTACATTTAATTTGACCATCAAAAACTGTCATTTTTAAGGCTTAAACGATTAACGAATAATAATTTATGGTTTAAATAATTGACCTAAAATAATAAGTTATCGTTGACCCAAACTTGTTTCTAGTGTGTTGTTTTAGTAGGTTGTTTGAAGCTATCACGAGTTCACTTAATCGTAGAACGAAAACAAGACTCGGTGACCAAAGACCAGTAAGCTAGCTATTGATGAGTCCCAGCCCCGCTAACTAGAGGGAGAAGTCAAAGGTTGAAATGGAAAGTATATTCCGCAAAACAGCCAGAAACGAGCGATAATAATAAACACAATTCAAAACGTATATATACAGTGCAAAACTGTCCTGGAGGAGAGTTACCAAGTAGCATATTAAAAGACGCAACGGGCCAATAGCATTTAAGGTATTTCCCAATGGGAAATACGACATGAAGGTAAAAGAGCGCCTTTGGCGCGAAAACAAACAAATTCAAATTTTCTAAATAAATTACAAAATGAGGTCCTTCCTCAAGTGGGCTCTGGAGATCTAACGTCCCCAACATAAATACAATTTGATTCTATTAAACTTAATTGAATAGTTTGTTTCCTTTTTGTAAAATTTTATATTTCCACCATGTATATCACAATACCGCTTGAAGATAGTTCTACTTTAATTCTATCACTGAAATTACTACTACTCTATTCACGATAATGTGTTCGTTCAACATTCGTCTGTGTTAAACTAGAAGTATATTTGTGTAAACACGAAATTGCAAAAAGATTAATATATTTAATAAAATAAACAAATAAAAATCTTGAATACACAATTTTGTTTAAGTTCAACGGAAACATTATTCAACCTGAATTAAAGCTAAAAAGCTTTTCTGTAATTTGATGTGTTAAATGTTAATTTATACAGTTAACAAGTGATTTCTAGATAAAGTATTGTAATAAACAATTACCATAGTAAAACAAGCGTGTCTCCCGTTCAGTTTTAACTATATGACCTTTCTAAAAACAATTACAACAATATTTGTATGGGGTCTATTAGTAGTAGATGAACGAAATAGACGCTAAGATTAAATCGCTGAAAATGTACTTGACATTTTTGGTATTTAAACTAGCCTATCTCTTTAAACTCGAAAATACTGACCAAGGTGTTACAATGTATATATAAAGTACCAATACAAATACCATGATATTTTATTGTAAGAATCGTAATTAATAAACGTCTTCGCAAAGAACACCATATGGTATGAATATCCTGGGTCGAAAATCTTGTATTTCATTTTGTTGGATTTAAATACAAGGATTCTAGGCTTGCAGCATTAGGTTGCATAGGCAAACAACTCGGTTTGACACATAAGTATATGTGTTGACGTAATATAGGCGTTTATACACTTCACATTGCGGCATACGTAACATTCTATATATCCATTATTATTAAAACAACAATTAATTCTGCTGTTATCGTAACTGGTTATTTTTAAAATAATGATTATACTGAGAACTGTTTGTCCGTAATCAACCTCAGATTAATAAACTGTTGGATTATATTTGTAAAAGAATACATTCCTATATTTTTTTCTTGTTTCATCATTCGTTGTACGTAAAATGTGTATTAATGTGTTCTCGGTTGTAAAGATATTCTTTAAAAAGGTTGCAAATAATAAAATCTGAATTCATATCTATGATTTCATGATGATTTTCTAGTCATGGATTTTTAATGATCAATACCTAACCACAGTGCAATGGCCCCCAAATGCACAATGCCCCAAATGCCCTGGTACGGCCGAGAGTGGAGAGAGTCCGTTCTCCCTCTCGAAATGCTCTCACATGGCCACGCGTATATAGCCTCTGCCAGCGAAGTCCTACTCACTGCCTTCTCGTTGCGAGGGTGTTGTTTACAAAAATGAGAGGACGAAAAGCAAATGTCCGGCGCTTTAACCGGATTCCAAAACAATGGTGCACATGGGCTCCAGTATCGTGCGAGAACAAATGGCGTATGAACCAGTTGTTGGTCACCGGCTTCCATGGGACTGCATCTCCTTACGATGCTCCACTGCCTTGTGGGTCAGACCTTCAGGTCGAAGGCTCGGGGAGTGGCCCCCTAAGAAAACCATCTGCTTCGGTTTGGGCACCCGGGCAGTATCACAGCCTTCACACATATCGAATCAGATTTGTGTGGCGCATATGTATTTGATGCCTCCTTGTACCAATATCTATGTGTTAAAATAAATAAAATAAATAAATAAATAAATAAATAGTGCAATGAATATTCCATATAAAAATTAAAAAAATGAGTATTCTAGAAGTTTATTACAACTTTAGATTTGTTTAGGTTATAAAGTGATTTTATCCATCTTGGTCTCAATTGGTTATGAAAACTTTTGTTTTCTTTTTGATTTTCATTCATCAAAAGCTTCCGATCAAAAAATTATAAAAACCTAATTGTTTTATTAAATGCAATTCGTTGTCAGAATTTTTCTAGACCGAACTTATTTTCAGAAAAATAGTCAATTAAAAAATAATCTACTTGTCATCATTCTTTATATCATATTCTGCTGATTAACAAAAAAACAAAACAATGAATACCTTAGTCTACCCATTCATGCAAATTAGAATTATTCCATTCAAACTTTGCTAATAATATTTAGAAATTTAGCAAAAAATCATGATATTACCTTGATTCTTTTGAATACTGACAATATGACCATAATTAATTATGTGTCTGTGTGTCGAAAGTAAGGATTTTGGTAATTAAAGTAAACTTGAAATCTAAACGTTCACCTAGTCCAGTATTCAAATGTCTACAATTGAAATCTTCATTTTTTAAAATTACTTATACAGATAGCCCTGATTAGTTAAAATATCTGGAGGTAATATATCTACAACAGTCAGACATTTCAATAACTTATGCCTGAGTTCAATCTATGTCATAATTCAATATTTATTTTAGAATATTATGATTTTTATAAACCATAAACCACTTTTTGTCTTAAAAAGGTAATTCACTATATTTATCGTTGAAATCTATCTATTTCACTACAAACCATAGTCATTTGTAAGTGATGTGACGCACTTGAACAGTTACTTCATGCAAACATTTGCAAAGGAGAAAGAACGCTTTTCATTTTTTTTTCTTTAAAAGTATTTATTACGCACTGTTAAATAGATGGTTTTGATAAATTATGTAATAATGAGCTGAATATATCGTAAAAATGGAAATTATACTTGTTCTATCGACGAACCAAATATACGTATAAAAATCATGCAATATAGTTTAGTCAGTATCTGTCTTTTTATTTCATATTAGAAATGTAAACATGCGACTTTGTTAAGTAAATAATTCGAATAATTTTACAATCTTCTTCCAAATTTACAACAATCTGTATAAGTCAGAAAATCATGAAACAGATGGTTTTACAGTTTACATTACTTTTGTTGAGAAACATTCTGACCAAAGACTACATAAGAATATGTAGTAGTAAGTTTATGATTTTCTCATAAAAATTTGTGAGTTATTGAAATGATTATGAAATATCAATAGTTGAAATCAGTAGTCAATTGAAGATAAACCACAATGGAAAATCTGGAAGCACTGGATAGCCGTCTCGTCCTACTGTAGGGCTCGCGAGCGAGCGAA